GAAAAGTGGGGCAAAAGAGTATGCGGCTCACATGATGGCAAGTGTCGACTACCGCGTATTAAATAATACAACACCAGGGGAATTACAGGCGCGTTGCGGGCTTTTTAAAAAGGAGTAAGGTCGTTTCTTGAAGCTCCCTAAGTCGTATCGGTCCGACAGTAGTAGACCGCCAAACATCCCGATGATGTGGATTTGTGAAATACGTTGATGAAATTTTGTGACTGGAATTAATCCTAACAATTCCTCTGAACACTCCCCGTGGTAAATGCGATGGAAAATGCAAAGGCATGCAACATCTCTTAGTCTCGTCTTTCGTCTTCGTCGGTTGTCGACGATTCGAGCTGCTCTGCGCTGGGTGCGGTCAAGTGGAAGGAGCTGGTACTAGAGAGCCCCGGCCCAGGGATGAGACAATATTCCATGTTAGGCCGAAAGAAGGAGCAGGCCCTTGTAAAGTTGCAAGCAGTGTGCTGGCATAAAATACTGACCCACTGTGCTAAGCATGCCAACCTTTTTAAAGGGCTATTCAGCCTTCCCTTTCAAGTGACCATGAAACTGTACTTTATTTGATAAGTCAACGCCGAAGATTTCGATATTGCCTGAGGTAACAAGGGGAGTGCCCTGAAATTGAGGAGTTACGACAAAGGGATTCTTTTTAGTGGTAAACGCGCAAAATTGTGTCTTCTGGGAATTTAATTTAATTGGATTTAGTTGCCGAGAACTTATCCGGCTAACTCAACTTCAGACACAAGTTTGTTCCGGTACTCGGCGACGTTTTCTCGAGAAATATAGGCACAGCCGGTGTATAAAGCATCACCAGTGCACGTTATTGTTTGCAACATATTATAGATAAGCAGAAGAAACAGCGTAGGTGATAGCACGTAGCCTTGTGGAACACCAGCATAAATAGGCTTGTGAACTACGACTTTGTTGCTCCATTTGCAAGAAAACTGCTGATCCAGTTGCACAAATACTCGGGAAGCCCATAGGAAGGGAGCTTCAAAAGAAGCGCTTTGTACCAAACCCGATCGAAGGCCTTAGCTATGTTCAAACTAACGGCCAGTATCTACCTGTTGGCCTCCGCCGATTTATGAGTCAGGTAAGCCAGAAGATCACCAGCTGAGCAACTCCTACGGAAATCGTACTGGCGGTCACTTTTCAGTTGATAATCCGCAACCTTATGAGTTGGCAGTTCACAATGGTTTTCATTATTTTGGACAACAAGTTGGATAGGTCTAAACGGTGGATTTTCGGTTAAATTTTAGAGATCTGGTGCACTAACGCTGTCTTCTTTGAGTTCGGGACTACGTCAAGGGAGAAATAGTTTTAGAAAAGACACGTTACGACTGATGCCAACTAAGGAGCACACGTCTTCAGCACATTGGGAGGAACTCCATCAGGCCCACTCGACTTGACGTCTTGGGAGAATAGAATAGAATAGAATGAATAGAATTGAATAGAATGATTTTTATTCAATATTGATTATTACATAATACTTATTGAAAGTCATTATTTTATTTACCACTGGTTCGGAAAATACCTCTGTCGTGGGAAGAACCAGCAAGAAACCCAGCGGGACCTTTTTTTTAAACATAATTTCACTTAACAATAACTTTGTTTATACAATTATAAAAGAATTTTCATAGAACCAGCATGGTGGCGGTCACCTTATTCCCAGGGGTTATTTTCATTCATGTATTCCTTGATATTATAATAAACCATTTTGTACAGTTTTTCTTTGATAAAACTTTTAAACTTGTTTATTGACAAACTTTGAACATGTTCTGGGATTTTGTTGTAAAAGCGTATACATTGCCCCATAAATGAATTACTAATTCTGTGGAGTCTAGTAACTGCCATTACAAGTTTATGTTTGTTCCTAGTGTTTAAGGTATGAATCCTTATTCTTATTAAAGCTATTTATGTTTTTATGTACATACATTACATTTTCATAAATATATTGCGATGCCAAAGTTAATATATTTATTTCTTTAAATTTTTCTCTGACGGACTCTTTACAATTTAGATTATAAATCGTCCGTACGGCTCTGTTTTGCAAAACAAATATAGCTTCAATATCGGTCGCATTACCCCGTAGCAAAATTCCATAAGACATTACGCTATGAAAGTAACTAAAATAGGTACACTAACCTAGCTGTCTCAACATCTGTGAGACTTCTAATCTTTCTTACAGCATATGCTGCAGAACTAAGTTTGCTTGCTAATTTAGATATATGAGGGCCCCATTGAAGTTTCGCGTCAATAGTAATAACAAGAAAAACAGTGATATCCACAAGACTCAACTCCTCCCCATTTAAGAGCACATTGGTTTTAGAATGTTTTACATTGTAAATTTAATACATATTGTCTTATTGCCGTTTAAGAGCAAATTGTTGGCATGAAACCAATGTATTAATTTCGATAGAGCATTATTTACATCGTCATAATTAATTAACTGCCGTTTCAGTTTGAAAATTAAAGAGGTATCGTCAGCAAATAATACTATATCGTGATTGTCCCCTACAAGATAAGGTAAGCCATTAATATAGATTAATAACAGGAATGGGCCAAGAATCGAGCCCTGAGGAAAGCCCATTGATACTACCGATCCGGAGGTACCTTTACCATTGATTACGACTTTTTGAGTTCTGTTACTTAAATATGAAGTAATAAGTTTAAGCGCCAAACACCATGTAGTGCTAGAAACCAGAGTAGTGCTATGCGCACCGAGCGCTGTGTAAACCATATCGTACCGACCTAAAGGCGAAATTATACTTCTTTTTCAAAGCGCTGGTGAAGCACTCCCTTTATAGCGCGATGCAATTTTACAGGAGCGACAAACACACAGATGATGGAATAAAAAGTTCCATTTCCTGAAGTACCTCATCAGTGACTGAATCACGTTGGGATCATCCGGCAAGAATTATACCCACCCCTGTCCTCAAGCCAAAGATGCAAAAAAAAGACCGCAACCTGTCCCAATCGGCTGACCTATAGTGCAAAACACGGCGGCGATCTGCAGAACGCAACTGCGATGTGAGTGTGAGTGGCACCATAGTCCGGATCAGACAACGGTCCAATGAGCCAAGAAGGGCGTTGACGGAGACCTGATATCTGTCCGGATGAGAGGTCAGCAGAAGGTCCTACAGGGAAGGTGCACGATCCTCCACATCTAATATCCACGTAGGTGGAAGTAACCATTTGTGTCGGACCATATTCCAAGGCAAAGTCATAAACAGATCATCCCGCATGATTGGTTAAACGAGAACCAAGCCATTCAGCGTGGCGGCCGTTAAAATCACCAAGGATCACGAACTCTGCAGATAGGACCTGTTGTAGCACGGAGTCTGCAGCGATTTGGACGTGGTCGATAAATTGGTCGTCGCTGAACTTCAAGACTGCCGAGGCATCGAGAACAGATGTCCTCTTTGACGTATACGCAAACTCCAGCCCGAGATACAAACTACAAAGGTGTTATAATTTGTACCCCGATAGGAGAGAAGTATCAACCGGAGAGGACACCTGCGTCTCGGTTAGAAAGAGCAAGGTCGGTTGGCCATCTTCAAGTGGTACCTAATGCACTTCGTTAACGTTCGAATGAAATCCCCTGATGTTGCAGAAATTCACGGATAGCGTGGCAGGGGTCACATTTGTGTTATTGCTCTACTTGCCACGAGCAGTATTAGTCTTGAGCGGAATTTCATGCCCCCCCCCCCCCCTCTCCCCAGGATACGAGAGGCAGCCTGAGCAACCGCGCTAAGGAAGAGTAGGGTAGCTTGGGTCTGGATGCTCAGCCAGGGATTCTCCAATACCAGGGGTGCTGGTACCCTCCTGGGATGGTTTCTTATTTAATTACACTACCATGTTAAGGGAAATTTTTACGTGGTAGAGCCATACTGCAGCTATATTACTGTTATAGTTGTAGCACGAATGGGTCGGCTCGACCGGGAAAGGATCACGCTCTCAGAGAATACCAGCATATAATAGCAGCTTAATGCTGCTGTGTTTCGTATGGTTAGTGTAGAGAACCGGAGACCCTTTTTACTGGAAATGAAGCATTTCATCTTAGTTATCACGGTGACAACGCATGTGCATTTTGATTTGGCATCGCGGATAGATGTAGATGTCTATGGGCCACAGCAACCACTTACCATCTAGTCGCCCGTATCCTATAAAAGAAAAAAATGGGGAGAGAGATTAGGCCTCCGATCATCTACAGTTAACAGGCGAAGTAAACTTCTACTTCACGCTGGTTATCTGTAAGGTCGTGGGTCTCCTCGTTTCGAGCCGGTCCACCCATTCATTACAGCTCTTCATTTCATGTCTTACCAGGTCGTCACTCCATCTAGTCTGGCTCATCCGTGCGACAGCAAAAGCTGCGTGTGGCTCTTCCACTGTTATGTTCTCTGCCTACATTATTAACTGTAATCTACTTCGTCATTGTTGATGCCTTACACATAATACTTAGTAGTAAGAAGCTTTGCTTTATTATGCCCTCCAGTGGGCGACAAGGAGCTGATGATGAAGTAGTTACGCACCTTTAAAGTATTTAGTTTAGTTTAAATAGGGCCCCAATTTCATTTTTGCCCCAGGGCCCTTGGTTACATAGCTACGCCACTGGCACTACCACTAAATATTAAAAATTATTTGAGGCTTAGGTCTTTTTTATTCCTTCCTTTCAATTAAAAAGTAATGTACCTACATATATTTTCTACACATCAGACATTTTTGAAACTCAAAAGACAAAACAAGTTATAATTTAGCCACAAATACCTATACACGCAGTTGTTTTTGTGATTGTTAAAACATTCTCACACAATTTTATCGCTTCCCCTTTGCGGTTTTGCACTCGTCGTATTCCGTAAAGATACAATGTTGCACTCGAAACTAATTAGGGAGACGGTATAAAACCGAAGCAGGGACTGATCAAATCATTAACACTTCACAGCAGCTGTGAAGTGAGCTAATTTTAAGAAAATAAACATCACAAATTTTATTAAAAAATGTCAGTCATCAAACATATCGAATTGCTTTTCGACCGCCCCAACGAAACCCTCATTACACCAAAGGGGGATAACGATGACCTCTTCCAACTCACTGAAAAATATTTGGTAAGTTTCAATATTTTTTTTACACATTTCTTTCGATAGAGCTATTTTAAAACGTCACCATTATTTCAGCCCAAGGAATACGCAAACAACGGTATCGAACTGAACAACCGTTTTGGTAACGATGCCGGCAGCACAATACCGCTTACGGAACTAGCTCAACTTCCCCAATTCACTAAGGCTTCTCAACTTCCCACTGACGCCGATTTCTCTCTTTTCTTGCCAAAGCATCAGGAGATGGCCACTGAAGTTATTGATGCATTATTACGTAAGTTTAAAAAAAAACATACCACCAGTAATAAACATTCTAATTATTCCATAGCTTGTACCTATATATTACATGTATTACCCCGTGTAGTGGCTGCGTTAGAGTCCACCGCCCCATATCAACCCGTGCGTGTCATAGGTGGCGACTGATAGATGGGCAACAGTAACTTCCCGATAACAACGCAAAATAATAAAAATACTGCAGTTGCCAACCCGCCTGTCACGCCTGCAACCCTATGGCAATCCCCACAAGGGAAGCCTATGTTCAGCACTGGACTTTTAGTAGGCTGTAATGAACAAATTTATTTATCATCATTACTTCATCTTATCCCGTGGAAGTCGAAAGTAGTTATTTAAAATATCCCATGATCTTGTGGCCTTCAATAAATGGCAGTATAATAATTTTTAATTCTACTTTTTCTGCCGCCAATCGCGTTCACTCACTTCTGTATTACAATATGCTTAAAGGGTATGAACAGCCAGTATTATTTCAGGCTCTTTGCAATTTAACTCTCATCCTTAAAAGTAGTAATATCAGTAGTTCTTATTTGAAATAGGTAACAGGTGCCCATCTGCACTTACCACCAGGAGGGCTCTTATCTCGTTCATATTAATATTATATAAAACGAGACACAAAATACCAGATCTGATGATGAAAGGGCGTCAAAAGGACGAGATGATGTTCTGTTACGCAACTGCGATCACCAATCTGTTTACTTAAGTGGCAAATATTTGTCACTATGAGAGATGCAATTGTTATATGTGTACTGGTTAAAGACTAATGAGGATGACATTATGTATAAATTGGAAATACTGCCAAATATGGGAAGTCCGAAATAAGCACCCATGAATGAGTTATATATCCCTTAACTGGGCACAAGCCTCTTCTTATTTTCTGAGGCAATTCATGCATGGAGAGAAAGTTTGCATTACACTAAAATTGCTTTGGGTGTTATTAAATTCTGATAAGATAGGTTGTAATGACTTCTTGGGTAGTTAATAGGTGGGTTCCTAGGTTTACCCCATAATTAACAGTAGGTTGTGAACCTAATTCCAAAAATCAAATTCAAAGCTCTTTTATTAAAAACTAATTGCTTTAGGAGGATAAACACTGAAATAAATTATTATTATTATCTTAAAAAAGGTTTTATTAAATTATTAATTTAAATTTGTTTTATTTTAAAGAATAAATAACTAATTAAATAATTATCTATTCATATTAGGTGTACCAGAAAATCAATTGCAAGAATTTCTTTCAACTTGTGTCTATGCAAGAGTCAACCTGAATCCTCAACTTTTCAATTACTGCTTCTCCGTTGCCTTAATGCACAGGTTGGTTTTTTTATCAATATGAGAAAATGGCATGAACCATTGTTAAAAAAGGTTTTTCAAATTGCATTAATATATATTTTTTACAGAAATGACACAAGGAATGTTCGAATTCAAAATTTTGCAGAAACCTTCCCATCAAAATTCATGAACTCGAAAGTATTTGCACAGGCTAGAGAGGTAGCAGCTGTAGTACCAAAAACTCTTCCCGTAAGTATTTTTTTTTAAAAACTTTAAAAAAAAACATTATTTTTCTTTACCACAACAATTTTCACATTTTTTATCTGTGCCTGAACAATATACTGGCTTGTAATTTGGTGTCCAAGGTCCTAGGCTGTCATTTGAATAAAAGTCCATTGGATATGTACCATCTTCTTTCAACCATTTAGAGTTACCTAAAGCAACAGAAAATTCATATGGAGTAAGTAGAGGTTTTGGAAAAGCCGTTCCCCAGTCTATAGACAATCTTGGACAGGCCACTTGGACAAATGCATCCAAATCAAACATTGAAAGTTTACTAGGGAATATTTCTGACAATAGTATTTTTACATACTTCTTTTCCGAATTTTGTATTTGTTTCTCAAGGTTACCCAACACCTTTGTACTGCCTTGTCTTCCCAATGTGCCTAATATTAGTCCAAATTTACTCGCCTCTTTAGCTGTTTTCAGCTGATTATGTCTGTTGATTTGCATTAACTTATGCTCATACACTTCTGATGTGAATTTTTTTTCATATGGATCATATTTATATGCTGGTATATCAGGATTAGCTATCATTACTGCTTCTAAATGAAATCTACCATCACCTAAGTACACAACTACATCACAGTTTAGTTTAGGTGCAGTGCAACCTAAAATTTCACCAGGCGACAAAGGTTTGCACTGAGGAACTGTTACTACATAATCTTCGCTACGAAGATTTTTTGCTACTGAATGTAATGTTGTAACAAATTGAATAGTACTAACTATTGCTATATGTGTTTTCTTTGGAAAGTTCACTTTAATAGTCTCTAAAAAATGCGATGGATCAATTTTAATATCCACAAATATATAAAGAACTTTAATATCACTTGTTTGATCTATGGGTATAAGGCAAGAATGTCCATAATGCACAAGCAAATCCACACAAAGAGCTCGTGCAGTAAAATCGTCAATACAGCAGGCACCATACGTCACATCACCCATTATAACTGTGTCAGCCTCAGTAAATGTTTCAATTATATCACAAAGAGTTGTGGCAAACATTGTTAAACCTGAAACAAATAAAACAATATAAGTTTTAATTGCACTCTCATAAAAATTTAAATAAATAATGTTAGTTTTAAGTTTATTTTGCTCGCCTTCAGGTAATTGAAGGGCTACTCTCTTTGCACCCAGAGTTCGTATCCTCCATATTGTTTTGTGGATCTCAAAATTATAATTTTGTGGCAGGGATTCACACGCGCTGTTAAGTAGTGGATCATTAAGTAATTCTTCGGGAATTTTATTCACAGAGCGTATTGTAGGTTTAAACGTTTTTCTCTGTCCTTCAGGCTTTGCCCGAACCACAACAACACTTGGATTTTGCAATAAATCTTCCATTATTTAGTAGATCATAATGTAAGGTACTTTGATTTCACTTCTAAGGTTTCAAATTTAGTAAATGTTAAACACGCGCAAAGTGGCCTACGTGACTTTTCGCAAATTCCCCGTTTCGTTACAGGCTACAAATAAATAACTTTAAATGTCACTAATAATGACTAACTTTATGCAACCGCCTAATTTAAATTAAGAAAATTTGTAACAGGAATAAAACATAACTTAATTTATTCAATGAATATCTACAAATTATTACAGAAATGTGACCGAAAACTCCCATATTTAATAATGATTTCTTACGTTAATTGCATAAAATGTAAAACAAAACATATGATATGTGACATTGACGTTTCACGTGCAATTGACAGAGGGCGTGAATTAAATAAAGGCAAAAGAATCTATACCCATACAGCTTAGTCAGTAACTAATAAATAACTTGAGGTTAATATCATCATCGGAGCATTTGTTTCATCGTTTCAACAAATAGTTCCAATAAGTAGATATTTAATCCACAAAATTGTATGATATTTACGTAATAAAAGCCACACACACACAAGCGCGCGCGCGCTCGCGCATACTCACGGACACACATACACCCACACACACACACACACACACACACACACACACACACACAAACACACCACTTTTTTAAACAATAATACAGGAGCAGAAACCGAGTGTCTGTAAAGTTCCCATAACTCCTTCACCATCATATGCATGCTATTATTTTTCCCTCATAAAACAAATTAATCTGACAACTGACATAAGTTACATTCCTATTTTCCGAATTTCCTATGCAAATATCATCTTAGATAAATATTCTTGTTTTAGCGCACGCCTATTATCATACCTAGAGACTATACAGCAACCGACTTAGACGTTGAACATCGTTTAGCGTATTTCCGTGAAGATATAGGTGTAAATTTACATCACTGGCATTGGCATCTCGTGTACCCATTCACAGCTAGTGACAGAAGAATCGTCGATAAAGATCGTCGTGGTGAACTATTCTTTTACATGCATCAACAAATAATCGCTCGGTACGTATAAAATTTTCAAAGCTAAAGAAAATCATTTTTGTATATATACCTATCACTTTTGTTAATATAAATTTCAGATACAACGGCGAACGTCTAAACAATTCTTTGCCTAGAACAAAGAAATTCAGTAACTGGAGGGAACCTATTCCTGAAGCCTATTTCCCTAAGTTAGATAGTCTTACGTCCTCACGAGGATGGCCACCACGACAGGCAAACATGCGCTGGCAGGACTTGAATCGGCCTGTAGATGGCCTTAATATCACCATCGCTGATATGGAACGCTGGAGAAGAAATTTGGAGGAGGCAATCGCTACAGGGATGGTACGATTGGTAAGCGTTTCCGTTCACAAAACTGTTTAGATTATCAAGAAATAATATGATACTATAATTGAATAAGAAGCATAATAGAAAGTTTACATCTTTAAAAAGTAACAGATTATATCCAATCATTTTAATAATATATTGACCTGTTTATTACAGCCTAATGGATCAACGCAGCCTCTTGATATAAATACATTAGGCAACATGGTGGAATCCAGCATCTTGTCACCGAACATGGAATTGTACGGCAGCGTTCACAACAACGGTCACAGCTTCTCGGCGTACATGCATGATCCTACTCATCGTTATCTTGTAAGAAAGGAAATAATATTGTATTCTTATAACCTTAAGCTTAGTAGGCCGAATACTAAATCACTGCTCTATATTTGTATTTGCTCAACTTTAGTCACACTAATTTCTACATGAAAAAAGTGATAAAATCTAACAACTAATAACAATATCATAAAATAAAATACTTAACGCAGCCAGCGTTCTTGGCACGATACCGCGGGGAGTAGGACTATATGATAATTAAGTTTCTAGTTTTAGTTTTTCTTTATTATTATTATAGTTTTAAATATTGTATATATAACTAAATATTAAACTTACAGTATATTTCAATATTATTAGGAATCATTCGGCGTTATCGCTGATGAAGCCACTACAATGCGTGATCCCTTCTTCTACCGTTGGCATGCGTTTATAGATGATCTCTTCCAAAGGCACAAAGAATCTACATATGTCCGTCGATACACACGGTCTGAGGTTTGTCAATAACTTTATACTACATAACTATTTAATTACAATGGAAAAGAAATTTATGATTATGAAAAAGAACTAGTATATTCGTCAATACTTTTAAGTGTAATTTTAATTAACACTTTTTTAAGTTGGAAAACCCTGGCGTTCAAATTACATCGGCAACGATAGAAAGCGATAGCGGGATGGCGAATACGCTTAACACATACTGGATGATGAGTGACGTGGACCTGTCTCGCGGTCTTGACTTCTCAGATCGTGGTCCAGTTTATGCGCGCTTCACGCACCTTAACCACAGACCGTTCCGTTACACGTAAGCAGTAATTCATATTTTTTCACTTATGAAATATGGCTATGCGGCCATGGTTATAATTTATTAATAAATCTGTACACGAACACAGACAGATAATAAAAGAAAAATTGTAATTTCAGTATAAACGTGAACAACACTGGTAGTGCGCGCCGCGCCACATGTCGTATCTTCATCGCACCTAAGTTCGATGAACGCAACCTTGCATGGGCTCTTTCCGACCAGCGCAAGATGTTCGTTGAGATGGACAGATTTGTCGTGCCATGTAAGTCTATAATATTGGATCTAAAAGAAGATACTATAAAACCTGTGTGTATGTGTTGGCCTGTGCCTAGCAGTTGACCGTATAGTATAGAGTAGACTGTAACTTTAACCTATATAATAACATTGCACAGAAATGATCAACTAATTTATGTAAGCACAAGTACATAATTGCAAATTTTTTTAATGATATGGTTAACTATTTAAAGGTGAAGTAAGCCGAAGGCTTTCGAGGCACAAGCAATTTTTTTCTCTAAAATCTCTCCCTTAAATGCACGCCGTGGAGGTAATGGACGACGTCACCAATATGCCAACCACAAATGCAAAACCCAAATCCCACAGACTAGCAGTTGCAATATCAGTAAGGGGGTATCAGCTCTGAGCTCACCAACATTAAATATTTCATCATAAATATCATGAAATTTTCATATTCAGATCATTTTGTATACATGCATATTCGTCCGATTAATCTATCGATAGAAACTTGAAGCACAATTATAATTTTTCTTTTTAAAAATAAACTACAATAAGGATTTTTCCTGAGTTGCAAAGAGTTTCCTTAATAAAAATTGCACATAAAGAAACGCCTTGAGCAGGAAAAATTTGTGGGCCATATAAATACTTGCTCCATGCATAATCCACCCCGCGACTCACAGCGTCGCAGTCCGACGCTTACCGTCGTAGTTATGGTCTATTCATAATGTTTATAGAAACTTTTCCGTCCCAGTGAACGCCGGTCAGAACACGATCACAAGAGACTCGAGCCAGTCATCGGTGACCATCCCATTCGAACAGACGTTCCGCGACCTGAGTGTAGTTGGCAGCGACCCCCGTCGTGACAACTTGACCTCCTTCAACTACTGTGGTTGCGGCTGGCCGCAGCACATGCTAGTCCCGCGTGGAACCGAAGCAGGCGCCGCTTATCAGCTCTTCGTCATGCTCTCCAACTACGAACTTGACAAGGTATGAAAAGAAATAACATGATTGTTAAACACAAAGAACCCGACTGCACTAATGTTTTAGAACAGAATACAGGACAAGGAATAGTTTCGCCATATCCGTCCGTCCGTCCGTTCGCGATTTTGCTCAGAGGTGCTACAAATCTGTGATTTGGCATAGTTATAGATATTAATCACGCCTAGAAAACTGTAAAATGAAATCTTAAAAAACATTTTTATTTTGGGTACTTCCCATACAAGTAAATGGAGGTTGATTTTTTTACCCGTCTATTCCATCATATCGGGTATCATTGGATGGGTCTTTCGAAAACACTGGAGGTGTGGAACAACATCTTTTCGATTCAGGAGTCCGTTTGCGAAATATTTTTCTTTTAAAATGGTATTTTTCATTAGTCATATGTCCCCCCTCCCCCTGTACCAACTAAACCGCTGTTTTTGGAAACGTGAAAAGTATACACAATAGTAGTATATATAATAAAGTTAAAAAGAAAATTATCACAGCTAAGTACAATTAAGAAATTAACGAGTAATAGTCGACCAACCTATAAAAATATATAATCCTGCTTGGATTAGTAAAAATTGCATTACAACTTCATAGAAATTACCTAAAACGAGCTGCATTAATGTTTGTAATGTTATTGTAAACTGTAAAATTAACATTTTATGAAGAAAACGACTTATTTGCTTTACTACTATTAGCTTTACTTTGTCATTTGCAGAACAGATATGGTATTATTATCAAAATCGAAAAGTTTTTTTTAATCTTTTAGGAACACCACTCCCTATAAGGCTAATTTTAAAATAAGTCCTTCAGTTACGATCTTCCCAATTGGGCCCATTTTTATACGTTAGAGTCTTAGAGTATTCAACTAACTTACTAGTTAGTTGAATAGTTAGTTGAATACTTTGAGGTTAGAGCGGTCAAACCGCGAACTCACTTATTATGCTCATTACCAAGAAGACCACGTATTGTGACGGGCAACTACTGAACGCACTTTTGCCAGTTTTTATTAACATAGTTTACAAAATAATTCTTGTTGAAAGTATTTTTTTCCTGCCTACTAGTTTTTTAAGTAGTGATTATTTATGTAATAATTTCTTACACACACAAGTTTTCTTAAGACGTTTTCCTTCCTACGGTGAAGGCCGGCTGGAACTGAACATGGATTGCTCGGGTGCTATGAATTTTACGGCAAACGCTCAGCCCCTGAGCTACCATGTCTCTGAAGACGTGTTATAGATACAAAATGATAGACCCGAAGCAATCATGCAAGCAACTGCTATATATATTATATATGTGCTAAACTATACTTTTATTTTTGTACTGTCTTAATATTTTCCAGCATAATTGTCGCATATTAGCCCGTTGATCCAAACATTGGTTCAACCATCTCTTCTCCTTAACTTTTATTTACTTTTTATCGGTAATTTCTCAAAACTTGCCGCGTAAGTTCTCTCTTCGTTTCGTATTATATTCAGCTCTCACCGTCTGTGAAGATGTAAATACAAAATACGGCATTCAAGTCACTTGTTTCATACCTTTACAATATTTTGCGAAGTCAATCTATGCGACGTCTTTCGTCAAATGATGGGGTACCCACGTAGTAAAAATTGACGTTATTTATACAAGGGTGACAAAACGAGTACATAGTCCATAATTTGGGAAGTAGGTGTGCGCCATCATATAGACACCTAATCTCGACTAATAATGTAATTGCCATTATTACTTTCTTATTGATTAAAACCACATCAAAGTCATTGTAAATCATGAGGCGACAATTTTCTTTTCATTATGACTCGCTCTACACTTTTACATTTGGAAAAACTAAAATAACTAAAATTTCTTACACACCACATCAAGTTGCAAAGAATTCTATAATCCATATTTATTATTAAACAGCAGAAACATAGGTCTTTAATACATATAAAATACGTGCTCCAAATACACACAATACACGTGTAATTGAAACTATAGGTAAATTTATATTTTTTTTTGTACCAGGTTGAGCAAGCTGATGGAACAGAAATGACATGCAAGGAGGCATCGAGCTTCTGCGGTTTGAGGGACAAGTTGTACCCTGACCGCCGCGCCATGGGCTTCCCCTTCGACCGTCCTTCAAGTTCCGCCAGCAGCATCGAAGATTTCATACTTCCCAATATGGCGCTGGTTGACATCACTATTCGTCTCCAAAATGTTACTGAACCCAACCCAAGGAACCCGAGCAACTAAGGACATTTATATTCTTGTTCTTTATACTTAAAATAAATGTAGCATATTAAAATGAAAGGCTGATAGATTAGTCTTATGATTTGCAAATAGTAGTATGTACATAGTATTACAGAGATATACTTAAATAATGTTGACCCGTTAATATAGTAATAAATGTAAGCATATTATACTGAATTATTTATTTCCCACCTCTTTAAAAATGTTACTGAAAACATAAAATACCCCAGTTTGAATCGCAGATTGCACGATAATTGATAATGTACACAATGCTTTATATTTTAACCTATTACACTTATGAATAACTAGCTGTGCCCTGCGGTTTCACCCGCGTCATCACGTGTCCGAGGTGCACGACATAACATGACACCTAGTTCAAGCATTTTATAATTGCAATTACATATTTTATGTGATAGCAATGTATGGAAAATTGGCATAATTAATGGAGTACTTTTATCTGTCGGCATGTATGATGTAGAGCGCAGTTAAGTTTTATCCACTTTCCCTCCCCCCCCTCTCACGTCCCAGAAAGTGTCCCGTAGCGCGGTTTTTTCCAGTTTTAAAGAAAACCGTACACGATACATGAAAAGTGTGTAGGCATGAAATGATTCTTGATAAATTTGCTATCAAACTCTTATACTTATTAATCAATAAAATTTTCAAAATACCATAGCAACGTGAAATGAAAGAGTTCAGAAATAAAGATGTAACTAATCATTGTCATAAAAGTACTCAATTATTTCTAATTTATATTAGCTATAATAATTGAACTAACCTCGCTCATAGAAGCTTTCAATGCTGGCTTCTCGCAGTTCTTACCGGGCGGCTAGGGTTTATGCGCCGTTCGCGCGCCCAGCCAAGTATTAAATTATTTTAAGTTTCATTATCTCTTAAACTATACGTCCAAATAACATGGTATGAAGAACAAAGTTTATCTTCATAAAATTGTCTTGATCATGAAGTAACTTTCGTTCGTAAGGATAATTAGGCCATGCCTAATAATAACGCTTATAAATCACTTTTTAATTTTCAATATTTTTTTTTGTCACAAAATATCTAATTATGGCTTATGTATAAGAAATAGACATATGGTATCCCGGACTTTTTTTTAGGCGGAATAAAGATCTATATTTTTCTAGAACATTGTATTTACGTATCTCTAACCATAACACCAGCGTATCATTTCGGGAGCGCTTTTTCTTCTGACTTGCTTAACAAATATCCATATTTAAGGCTAGCTGAGTGATATAGCTTAATGCTAGATAGCCTCTACTATTCCACATGAATCTGGCTATAATATACAAAAAGAATTTTTCAAATCGGACTGGTAGTTCCAGAGATTAGCGCGTTTAAACAAACAAAAAACAAACAAACTCTTCCGCTTTATTATATTAAGTATAGATTAAGGGTTTTCAAAGAAATGATGACCTTGTTATTTAAAACTAACTTGTCCCCGCGACTTCGCCCGCATTAATTTTGGATTTCATGGGTTTTAATTTTTTGCGCTTAACCCTAATTCTTTTACTTAAATAAAAGTAGCCTAAGTTATTCCTTAAATAATCAGCTATCTGCCAGTGAAAATCCCGTCAAAATCGGTCCAGCCTTTCGGAGATTAGCCGGAACAAACAGACAGACAGACTTATACGTGGTAGAGCCATGCTGCAGCTATATTAGTAGTATAGTCGTAGCACGAATGGGTCGACTCGACCGGGGAAGGACCACGCTCTCACAGAATACTAGTGTAAAATAGCAGCTTAACACTGCTGTGTTTCGTATGGTGAGTGTAGAGAACCGGAGACCCTTTTTACTGGAAAAGAGGCATTCCATCTTAGTCCTCACGGGTGTAAACGCATCTGCGTTTTGATTCGCAAACGATGATAAATGTAGATGTCTATGGGCCACAGCAACCAGTTACCATCAGGTGGACTGTGTGCTCATTTGTCACCCTATCCTATAAAAAAAAGACAGACAAAAATTTTAAAAATAGTTTTTTTTTGTTATAAGTAAGTACATACTTTCATATGCATTTAGTAAAAAGCTGTTATTTTGACATTACAAACAGACACTTCAATTTTATTTATTTGTATAAATGTAGTTATAATAAATTTATTAATGACAATCTGAATTAATAAGTTAAATGTGGTAAAAAAAAAATGCTTAATTTGTGTGCTGTTGTGCGGTGCAAGACACGTCTTGACGCGTGATTCGCGCTTTGAGTTCGTGGGTCACCCGTTTATCAAGCTCTTTTACCTTGCCAATTTGATGCAAATGGACCAATATTCTTTTGATGATACTCAATCTACGGCTGAATTAACAGGCGTAGATTGAGTATCATCAGCTTCCACAATCTCCTTTAATGACTTTCTGCCACCAGGGCGGCGGAAAATGTAAAGGTTAATGTTTCTTTCTGTACTATATATCTTTATATATAAAAATTACGTCTCACATTGTTTGTCCGTGATGAACTCCTAAACTATTGAAATGATTTCAATAGTTTCAGTCCAATTTGAGAGATAGATACTTTTTATCCCGATAAGTGACCTTCAATATATATATACATATATATACCTGGTCAGGTCATAAATTCTGTCACATGTTTAATATAAAATAATTGAAACAAGTTTATTCATTATGTAACCATTTATATACCAAAATGAACTTAACAAAACATAGATTCTTATGACACTAAAGTTTATTCAAAATAATCTCCGTGATTTTGAATACAGGCCTTCAATCTGTATCTTCAATGTCTATCGCAGCACAAACGAGGTCCATGTCGATATCGGCGGCTGCCTTAATCAAGGATGTCTTGAGTGACTCCAGATTGGGATGAGGCTTTGAGCACGCCTTTTCCTCCAAGTGTTGCCATATCTTGTAATCTAACGCATTCAAATCTGGACTGGAGGACGGGTCTTCGTGCCGGATGAAGTCGATTTCACGCGCCGCCAGCCAGTCTTGTGTGCTCTTCGCTCTATGAGCTGGCACCGAATCTTGTTGGAATACCCAGTGCCTGTTATTGAACATGGTATGAGAAACAGGTTCCACAAGGTTCGTCAGGACTGTATTTTGATACACAACTGCATTCGTTTTTACACCTTTCTCACAAAAATGTACCTCTGTTAAGCCCCGATAAGAAACTCCCAACCATACCATGAGCGAGGATGGAAAATGACCTCGTTGGACACGCGGAATACGGTTGCTCGCTTCTTCACTACTGTGTGCGTACACCTTATCATTTTGTTTGTTGTAGCTCTCTTCTACGGTAAAAATTTTTTTATCCGAAAAAAGAATTTCCCGATATTTTTTTCCCGCGTACCGCTTCAACAAAGCGCGGCATCTCTTCAGTCGCAGGTCCATTAGACGAGCATTCAAACAATGTCCTGTTTTTCTTCGATATGCCCGAAGCCCTAAGTCTTCATTTAACACCCTTTTCACCGTGGTTCTGCTTAACCCCATCTGAAGGGCCAACAGTTTCTGCTTACGTTTGGGATATCTTTGAATTCGCGCCTTCACAGCTTTTATCGCTGCTGGAGTCCTAACAGACCGAGGGCGGCCACTTCTTGACCTGTCATCTACACTAGAGTCTTCATTGTATCGTTTGATGGTACGATAAACTAATCTTTTGGTTATATTCAAATTTTTCAGTATGTCAAAAATTTGAATTGGTGCGTAACCGCAACGATGCAACGCAATAACCAATAACTGCAACACGGTCTTCTTTAAGCGTCCACTCCATATTTAAAAATGAGTAAAATTCTAAAAAGTATACAGTTTTATTTTCATGAACAATTCGAATTCAATAAACTTTTTTGTGGCCAGCATTCTAAAAGAAAAGTTTTTACTGTGTGACAATACTTATGACATGACTAGGTATATATACTAGTTGGACAGGCAGACGTTGTACTGCCCTTAGCGGCGAACCTCTGTACTATAAAAATACTTAAATTTGCAATAAAAAATACTGAGGGTCACTTATCGGGATAAAAACTATCCTATCTTTCAAGTTGGACCAAACTGCACAAGTGTGCACAAATTTCATTGAAATCATTTCAGTGGTTTAGGAGTTTATCGCAGACAAACAATGTGACACGTAATTTTTATATAAGAAGATATATATATTGTATAATAAGATTAAAAATAAATAAACCAAACTCATTGATATATAAAAAACCCACCAAACCACAGATATTCGTAAAAGTAGAAAATTTAAAAAAAGTTAAAAATGTGAAAAAAATTAAAGAACAAACCACTGAGGCATTAATATAATACTCTAGAAACTAATAAACTTTTATTAAAAACTAACTTCTCAATTAAATGACTTTGTGTAACAAAAACTTTACCTCAGTGTCAACTAGCGATATCTGGTGAGCAGAAAAATATTAGCCCTTGCCGTCATTGTCGACCAGTTTTCGTACGACTTTGGGGTTTATTTTTGTTGAGCAGTAGGCAACTTATTGAGCGGACGCGTACAAATTTATTCCTAAAGTTATTTAATTTACCGCTAGTGCAAATAGGATCTTGCGCTGAGTAGAAAAAGTGCTAAATTAATCTAATACTTTGTGTTGTGTTATGACATAGTTCTTCCGAGCAATTCCGTTCACCTTTGAGGTAACCGCTCTTCACTCTCTGGGGTAAAAGAAATAGACTATTTATTTTTTTACTCGCTCAAACAACAACAATACTTAAATAACAGTGAATTATAATGCACTCACCTACTGGAAGTGGCTCGCGGGAAGTCGGACGCAGTAGTTCTCAAGGTAACTTATCACGTAGAGATACACCTACGGAAACGTCTGATACACACATTCATTTGCGTAGTAAGCGAAAGCAAACTGATGATGTTGATCAAATTAAAACAGAATTAAGCGAAATGCGGAAACAGATGACTCAAATGATGGACATGCTTTCATCACTCACTTTTAATCAGAAAGAATTTATAAACAAAATAACAGAAGATATCGCAACAATTAAAAAACAAACCAAAGAAATAAAGCATACCACAG